CTGCCAAAAAGACAAAAGCAGGAACCAGAGCATTTCTGCGTTTCCAATTAGCAGGGCTTTAATTGCAGTATTAGTTGCTCATTAGTAGGAAAAGCCAGATGCTCTGAGGAATTAAGCGAGCTGAAAAGAGCTTTCTCTCCACCCCAGGAATATTTAACTGTGTCTTATACAGGCATTTCCTTTGTACCGGGAGCAGGGCTGATGCGACTCGTGTGGGTGCTGTGCTCGGGTGTTGAATCACTGATGAGCTCTGAAATTTGTGAGCTGCGAGGCTGCCGGCGGGAGCGGGACGAAGCCATGGGGAGGTCCGGGTGTTTCTGGGTGGCACAGGTGGGCATCATCACGTGCGGTTGGGACCTGGAGTTGCGTTGAACCTAAATCAGAGTGAGAAAGCATTTGGGCTGTGGTCTGAGTGGAGAACTGGGGATGTCACGGGTAGGACTTGCAGAAATATATGGCATCAGGAGCATAAAGAGCCATAGATCAAGCCAAGGTGGGAATACCAGGGAGGATGATGCTCCCAGAGCAGTCCTGGGATATTCCCACAATGCCCTGCTCTTGCTGTGCTTGTATCCAGCCAGGGCAAGGCATCATTTAGGAATGACCTCCCCTCCAAGGCCAGACAGGGCACAGGGACAGGAGGAGGGAGGCCAGGACCATCTCATGCCCGGCTCCCGACAGCGCTGTTTGGCTTTGCTGCACACGGAGCTGTTTGATATAAACCGCAGCTGTGCGGGGGAGAGCCGAGGCGTTTCGGCACCAGCAATCCCTCTGCGCTCAGAAAACAGGGGCTGGCTCTGTAAACAGCCTCATGTCACGGGTCAGGATGTGAGGCGCTTCCCAGTCTTGGAATGACTCTGTCCCATGTCTGGGAGCAGGTTAAGCTCACTTCTAAGTCCCTCTGGGGTGAGACAGAAAGACAAATACATCCCTTTTTTTATCCCGCACCTTCGCTGGTGCTGTTTGTGCGCGGGCTGAATGTCCACTAAGCATTTGCTGGAGAGAAAGCACGAGGCTCTGCAGGAACGCGGACGCTGAAAGCCACGGGACTTTGCTGACCTTCACCAATTTTCTGTGGGTTGAGCAATCGTCCCCGGGCAGGGACAGGAGCCATTCCCCGCTCAGGAAAACGCTGCTGTGTCCCCACAAAGAGGAATTAAGGACCAGGCAGCGTAGAAGTAGGCGCAGCACAGCGAGTGTTGAGCTGATACCCTCCAAAGCTCACTCTGCCAATATGATTCACTCTTAATTTGAGAAATTCCTCTTATTCTAGCGCTGGCTTCCCCAAACGCAGCTCAAGCCAATGCCTCGGCGCCGCCTGCATCGTCACAGGGACGATTTTGCCTTGCTCTCCCATTAAAGCCACTTGTTGACTCTTCCCTGGTCAGGATCAGTGCTTTGATTGCTCGATGGATGGAAGAGGGGTGCACGCAGCTCCTTCAAGCTCTTTCCAAAGCCAATGCTGAATTCAGCATTGATTTTTTTGGCTTTTTCAGCCGAGCTGTCAGGAGGAAAGAGGGGGCATAAGCGACCTTGACCTGAGCTGCTTTCCTGCATTGCAAAGAGGCAGCGCTTGGTGCTGCTGATGGGCTTCAAAAAAGCTGCAAAAGGGATTTTTTTTGTTGCTTTTTTCCTCTTGAGCACTCGCACCTTCACCCGCAGGGGCTGCAGCAGCCGTCGGTCCCCAGCTGCCCGGGGACACTGGCAGAGACGCAGCGGGGTCTGCGAGTGCTGCGCTGGCGCAGAGCCCACCCGAATCCCTGCCAAAGCCGCTGCCGGGCGGGGGGGGTGTGAATTCTCGTAGTGTTCATTGGAATAACATGAAGTGCGATGGACTCCTGGGCTATTAGAGCGGCTGTAACGTGTAATTGAGGCTGGTTATTCTTCATCTGGAGTGTCCCCCTTCGCTAATGGCAAATCAGCGCAGAACACATGGTGCGCGCTTTGTGGAGCCCGGGACTCAATTCACTCCCCGGCCTCCGATCAAAATGATCCCAATGAATGTCAATGAATGAGCGGGGCACAATGAGCTGCAGTGAATGAAAGCCTTGTCGTGGGGCCCTGCGCCGGCACCGAGCCACAATTGAGCACCGAGGACGGCGTCTGCCGGGGCGGCGTTTGAATTCGTCCCCATTAATGTGATGAGGGGGAAGATTACGAGGTGGGGGCAAGGTCGGCTCTGCTGATGGGGCTCTCCGAGCCCTATTGCTGCCATTTCGTTAAGAGACTGAAATGAGCAGGTTTTGGAAAGCCTGGCTCCAGCTGGGGACATGGACAGGCTCAGGCAGCCCCGGTCCAGCTCATCGGCCTGGTGTTCGTTAGGGTTTGGAGGGTCTGGAAATCAGAACCCGGTTTTAATTGCAGATCCCAGCTCAGTGGGATTGCTGCGCTCCAAGTTTTGGCTGAAGCAATTCTCTTCATTAAAACCTAAATCAAATCTTCCAGGTAGCATGAGCGTGGCTTTTCACCACACAAATGGTGAAATTTTCCCCCAGGGCCACATTCCTGGTGTCTCAGAGACCCAAATCACTGCGTAAAACAGGGGCACGTCCCCTGGCACCCAATCGAGGGGAAGAGGAAGGAGCCTGCTCCAGGATCCAGGCTCTTGGCAGCTGCTGCTGCTTCTGTGTTATCTCCGCATCTCCCAACAAACACCCAAATGTGTGGGTGCATCTGCACAGAAGCGATGAATAATAAATTGAAGAGGGGAAAAAGAGTGGGCGAGAGAGCGTAGGGGAGAAGGAAGCTTTCGCATGCCGAGGGGAGAAGAACAGGATCGGCAGGGAGAGAGTAACGCCGCGGAGCCTGGAAGGGAAGGAAGGCTCTTTTTGAGATGTCCCGCCTGGGGAAGGCAGCGAGACAGCAACCGCCCGCGAAAATGTTGCAAGGAAGAGGGAAAGGCTTCAAAGAAAGGGAGATAAGATTAAATTCCTGCGGCCCGTTCAGAAAGGAGAGTCGCTCTCCCACGTACGATGGCAGGGTAGGCACGACTGCAATCACTGTGAGATGCCATTCATTTTGTTTTCCCCTTTGGTTTCTGCAAAAATAAGAGTGGGTGCATCCATACGTCCTGATCCTGTGGGTTTTTTTATTGGGGTGATCACCACCAGACCCCTGTGCCTCCCAATTCACCACTCAATGGGTTTTGTTAACAGCCCCTTGAAGTCCCACAAAGGGTCACAGAGCCAGACTGCAGCAGGGGCACAGCATCACCCCGGGGGTCCGACCGGCGCGGGGCTCGTGCCGTCCCCCCCCGGCCCCCTCCCCGCCACGGCGCCAACAAAAGAGCTTTGAGGGGCTCATTTGGCGGAGGCGGCGGAGCGAGAGGGAAAGGCTCGTGTCCTTTCTGGCTTTCTGTCCCCGTTAATTGGTGAGTGACGGGGCACGCCGCCTCTCAGAGTAATCACATTCAGCATTGAGAGCCTGGGACCTGCTGCGTTTGGCTTTGGGGACAGAGACGCGCTGGTACGGGGGCATTGCCATCGCACACTGGCAGGGATGCGCAGACCCACAGCGGGGACCAGGCACCCCACAAATACCATCCCCAATACAGCTACACCCTTATCCCTGCTCGCACCTACAGCCCGTGCACGTAGCATGGTGCCTCACACCCCATCTCCAGCACCCCCTCATCTCCCATGCCAGCACCCACCACTGCCAGGACATTTTCAGACCCTGCACTCTCAGTATCCCTTATATTTGTATTTTTTCCCCACCCTGTCTAACTTAATTTAACTGCTGCTGTTGCCAAGCATGCAAAAAACCCCCTTAAAATATACATATACATATACACACACATGTCTCTGTATGTACATAATGACGAGGTTTTGTTTGGCTCAGCAAACCGATCTGGCTCTCTATCGCTAGATCTGACGCAGGGGAAGACGCAAGCGTGCACCACAGGGGCCGAACAAGGACAGGGGGATGAGTCTGGTCCCCACTTTTGGGGATGCTGGAGCTCTTTGCTCACTTGGTGCACTCCTGGCTGCCTCTCCCTTTCTGCTAAGGCCGTGCACGAATGCCAACTCCTCCACGGCTTTCAAAGTGCTCATTTTTACACGGAAAGAGGGAAGGAGAAGAAAAAGACGTGCCCAACCCTCTGAGGCACGCGTGGGAGGGCTGGGACTGATGGAAACGCCTCCTGCCAAGAGGCTGGAAAGTCCCAGCTCTGCCTCCCCACGTTTCTCCCATCTTCTGCAAGCACCCAAAAAACCACGGGTGCACCTATCCAAAGGGGTAGATCTACCCCTGTGCCACAGGTGCAGCGAGCACCAGGTCCATGCACCCCGCGATGCTCCGCGTTTCAAGGCATTGAAGCTCCCCAACGCCCCTGCCATAGGGGTAGGGAAATAAAGCGGCTGCTTTTCACCCTCCCAGCTCGCTCGCACATGTTTAGCACTGCCCTGGGGATGCTGTCGCTGCGGTTGGCAGCTTTGCTGCGGTGACACTGCCTTTTCTGCACACACACAGACACAAAACGCGGTGCCGGAGCTGCCTCCTGTGCCAATTATCCCATTCCCTGCAGCGATTCCTCCCCCTCCACGCACATTATGCCTCTTACCCCGTAAAAATGAATGGAGCCAAAGTCATCGATCACTTTTAGCGTATCAGCATCCAGGCAGCAGTTCAGACCTTGATTCTTACTTACTTCTCTTAATCTCCCCAAAATGGATTTAGGGATTAAAGCGAATAGTCTGTCTTTCTGGGACTTTTCTTTGACACTTAATCAATCTGGGTCCTCCGGGCACAGAGTAAAGGAAAGTAAATAAAGCGGAGGGATGAGCACAAGTTTGTGGTATCTTGTTCAGGATGCAGAGGAGCCTGTACCAGAGCGAATGTAAGGTAGGACATAGGAAAAAGATAGGAATAAGTCTCTGTAGACCTTGAGGATGAAGCAGTGAGGATGCCCTGGCACATTGCGCCTGCATTCTCCATCACCCGACCCCAAGCACTCTCCCATGGATGATATTTGTTTAATTCAGATGATATTTTACCCCCAGGATGCCCATTTGGGCAATGGGAACAGGGTGCAGGGGAGCTCTGGAGGAGACCAGGACCACGCAGCATCACCACTGCTGGGAGTGGGAGCTTTGAGCTTTTTGACTGAAACATTTCTGATCTCCTCATCCTGTGCAAGCAGGATTTAGCTCATTTGATTATGCACTGACTTCAGCCTATGAGCAGCTCTTCCCCCTTCTCACCCTTTAATTACCCAGATCGAAGGTGCATCTCCATTAAAGCCCTGACATGGGGAGCCAAGCGTCACAGAGGCCACCAGGAGCCGGGATTTTTTCTTCTTTAACCCCATAGCAAAGAGAATTAATGCACGGCCCCGCATACCTCTGAACCGCAATCACAATTCTTCACGCACACATAACAACACCTCTCGTCTCCATAAGTGCTGCACAGACATTAAGTGTAATTAAGCCTCGCAGCATCCCTTTTCAGGTAGGTTAAGAGGAGCACTGGGAATTGGAGAGGAATCAGGGAGCGACAGGAGAGGTTGTGGCTGCAGCTCGCGGTGCCGAGTGCGGCTGTCAGGAGATGGGCTCCATCCTGCGTGGCACGGGAGCTCATTGAAATCAGCACCTATTTGGCACCTAAACTGCAAATTTCTTCCTCCTCTTCTTATTTTTAGGGTCTCCTGTGTCTCATAACACTCCAGGGCTCATCTGGGTGGTCCTGCTGAGCCCCTGGGTATGGGGCAGGATGCAGCTGGGAGCTGTGCCATGAGGGGATGCTGGGATGGGTACCATGGTGGGGTACCAGCCTCAGCCAGCATCCCTCTCCCTTTGCACACACCAAGGACTGACCAACTCATTGCACATACCCCCAACCCAACACACAGAGAAACATGCACAAACCCCTTTGCACAAGCCCTTTAAATGCCGACGCCAACTTTTACCCAAACACCAAATGTATTTACACACTCGTATCACCATAACGATGCCCAGACCGCGGACGCAGCATCACACCCCACTACCACGTCCCTTCTCACCCTCCTCTCTTTGCCTCCCCCAGGCTCGCAGCTCCGGGGTGCAGCGAGGTCTTTGCTATGATCGCAGCG